ACCAGTTCCTGCTTGTTACTTTAGCTAAAATAAAAGGGGTCATGGTTTTATTTCTTACAGTTTCTAGCTGCATTAACCATTGTTTTTCAATTTTCTTATAGGATGTGTAGGGCTTTGATGCCTGGGGATGAGGAAAGCATTACAGATGAAGTGATATGGGAGACCCTTCCTGTAAGCTTTTAATTACCTAACCAATAAAACATTTGATTTTTCGAGAGAGCATTGATGTATATAATAAACTTTTAGACAAATATCCTAGCGTTTATGGTTCAATGAGGTGATATATTTTGTAAGAGACAAGTATTAGCTTGTGGTTCTGCTAGTATCTTTATCAGTAACTCTTAGTCAAATTGTGTGAAAGACATGATATTTAAGTTCAATATTATTCAAAAGTAGTCCTGAGATTTATTTGTTAGTTTGTTAAATCATCTTTTCATCTATTTTTGCTATCAATGTTTTGTACTCTAAAGATATGCATTTTCATTTTAAATATCAAGAAATAGAAATTAAATTAGAAAAACCATAATGTATTTGGGCTGAAAATAAAAAGAACCCATAACGTAATACCTTTGCACACGTGTGTTTGTGGATGGAAGTAAAATATTTTCTTAATTCGTGCCATAAGATTGATGGCAATATTTTCCTCTTTCTGTTTTTACAGAAAGAGAAAAACAGAAAGACGATTGTGATATAAAAATGCTTCTGGCTTTTAGTTGAGCAAGATGGTTTATTTCTTTGTGTTTTTTACCTGTGACAACATCTTAATTTATTGAAAGTCGGCCCGAGGCAGAAAGGTTTTCTCCTTTCTTGTAGGTAAAATAATGATTAAAGAAAGGGGAAAAGGACAAAAAAAAAAAAAAAAAAGGACTAGCATATTTGTTAAATTATTGATGGTAACAAGTTGGGGTGGGGCCAACGGCTGAGATTAAAATAGAATCTGGCCTGAGATTAGAAAATGAGCAGTTCTAGGGGCACTCGCCTTTTGCACTCTCCGGCCAACACTTCCCTTTTCATTGGGCCACGTAAGCTTATTGCGGTTTTGCGGTGCAACCTCTTACCCACCAGAATAACGTGGCCCAATAAAAGTGAAAGTGTTTGCCGGAGAGTGCAGGAGGCGAGTGCCCCTAACACTCCTCTTAGAAAATATCCGAGAGAATCAGGAAAAAGAATCATC